TTTTCATCCTGTCTGCTTGTTTAATTAACTCTCCTGTCATTTCAGATCCTACCATTCACACCCGATCATCTCTCATTCCCCTCACCTGGTCCTCCACACCCATCTCACCTGCAGCCCATCCCCTCATTAGCCCTCACTATTTAGGTCTCCTCACTTGCACTTGTTCCCTGCCAGATTGTCTTGTGTGTTATTGCCAAGTTCTCCAGCGTAACTTTATATTGTTCATGATCTGCCTGTTCCGACCCTGTCTGCCTGTTTTTCAACCTTGGATTTTGGCCTGCCCCTTATTGGATTTGTTCGCCTGTTTGACTGACCTCACGGTTTTGACCCTGCCTGAACTCAAGTAAAAGAACTAAACTTGTATTTTGTCTCCAAGTTGTGCTTTTGGATTCAAGTACCTGTAATCCTTAAAATCTGACTAAAATCTGAGTTTGGGCCTAATTTATATCGAACTATTGAATCACGTCTATAAAATAAATCAAAGACTGACTAACAAAGGATTTGAAAACTAAAAAAGACGTGATATGCTACGAGCAATCCACCACAGTACTGTGCGAGAGGTGCCCGCACAGAACACATAGGAGTATAGATCAGGCATCAGTCCATTACCTGGTTATGTTCAGCAGACTGAACTTTAAAAAGCTGCCCGCTCAGCTTTCTGATTCAGACACTTCTTACTCACGTCCGTCGCAGAAGTCACTGTGTGTGGGTGCTGACAGAGGAGACAAAGTGCATGTGTACTGATTGTGTAAACACTCCTGCAGTAACTCCTCTGTTGACAGGTCAAAGGGCGAGGAGTCGTGTGAGGCTGACGGCCATCTGGTTACACATCCTCTCTTCGCTGTATCATCGACCCAATAAACCAAACTGTTCAACCACTAGATGATTTTCCTCTGGCTGATCCACATAGCTGGATTTATAATGAACAATGACAGATTATCTCAGAAATGGGCCACGACTAATTTATGATTCATGAGTAATTATAGGTATCGCATCAGTCACGTAATAATGGTTGGATGATAATATTTAATCATATTTCAATACTGTGTATCTATATATTATGTATTTGATGCTCGCATGCAGAACCCCTCAAACAGCTGCTCGTTGGGGCTGCAACTAACATGAATATTTTCATTACCAATTCATTATTTTGTCTGTCAATTATTAGAAGATGGTGAGAAATGCACAATTTTCTAGAACGCAAGCAGATGTCAACAGGTGTCTTGTTTTGTGCAACCAACGGTCCAAAACTCAGAGAAATTCAACTAACTTTAATGTAAGACAAGTAAAAGCAGCAAAGAACCCAAAATCATCAAATTATTTGCTTGAAAAATTACTGAAATTATTCTTTGTTATCAAAATAGTTGCTGATACATGTTGCTGTCTAATTGACTAATTGATCGTTTGCAGCTTGACGTCACATTTCGGTCAAAAAAATGTTCTTTAATGATTCTGTGATCATGATTATCCTTTTTCTGGCGTGTGCCTTTACATGGCTGTGGGGTTGTTGATCTTGCCCATGAAGAGGCAAACTGATAAATACTAACTGAGTAATGGTGGTGGTTGCTGTCTCTGTTCCCATCTCAGTGACACTCAGCACAGTCTTGTGGGACGTCTGTGGAGGAGAAAGAAGGCAGTCAGAGTGTAGTTTGAAGCACAGCGCAGGTCTAAAGATGTAGAGGGTTTTTTATCAGCATTCTCTGTCAGCTTATGTCTCTGTCAGCTGCAGTTGTTGAACTACTGCTCATGCAGTGGATTGCATATTCCCATGGTGTTCATAAGACCTTAACGAACTTTAAGGAACAGTGTGTAGAATTTAGGGAGATCTATAAATTGCTGCAGGGATGACGTATTTTGTAGGCCAACCCTGAAGCTATCATCACCCCGGTTCCCTCAACAAAAGCTAATTATTTTACGTTTTGTTCAGCATGATAATCTTCACAAATAAACACCACTGTTATGATTTTTGATGTGTAAATGCAATCAGCAGATGTTAAAAAGAAACGTAAGACTATTAACAAACTACAAAGGCGGACATTTAGCCACTTGTTAGCAACTGCCTTTTTAAGACTAGTAAAAGCCTCAACATTCAGGAGAGGGGTACCCATTGAGACTGAGTCATGCCAGTGCCTGATGTAGTCCTTGTTGATGTAGCCCTCCACTTCCTTCATCAGGCAGGGCAACCATCATGGAGGTGTTGCCATGGTAGGTCAGCAGGATGACGGTGGTGTGGTTGTCAACGTCCCAGTAGGTGTTGTAGTAACCCAACCTCATCATGATGTCAACCTGAACTTTGGTGGTCTTGTCCACGTGGAAGTCCATCTTGCATGTCATGTCACGATTGAAGGGTGTCTTCCACTGTCCTTTACGAGGTAGTAGAGAGGGGTAGACGACAGCAGTGTAGATATTTGGTTTTAGATTTAATTTTTACATCATTAACACTGGTTGATTATGCTACCATGGTAGTTAGCCTGCGTAGCGAGAAGATGAAAAAGGACTGATCTCAGGATGACACCGGAACTTATAGACGACGGGGGTCATCCGAGGTCACAGGTGATTTGATATAAAGACTCGACCGGCACGTGCGCGAGACAGAAGATATCCAGTGTTAAGCACTGCTTCTGGCGGTTAGTAAGGAAGAATTAGAACTCTCCCCGCACGGTTTAGCTGTTCCCTACTGATTCAAACAGGGCTAAAGCAATCGCCACACAATCCCCATTTCTCCAGACCATAATTATTGCTTTGTAAAAGAAAAAAAAAACCCAAACAGAGAATCAAATGTCCGGACTCTAATCATGACGGGATGCTTCGTCATTAGTGGACAATGCATATAGTTAAAATCAACGTAATTAACACAATGACAAGAATAAACTCACAAGAACCAGTCACATATATTTATATGACAACAAAGCATGCCACTGCAGTGCTAAAACACTCATTCTGCGGCACACTAAAGAGCACGAGCAGTTCAAATATTATTCACATCAGAGGGAACAATATTAACCATATCATAAAAACGACACCATAGACAAATGAACACAGTAGTAACGCTACTGCAGATGTAAAAACACAAAAGCACTTCACTTACCAAAGTTGCTGTTCACTTAAAGACAAAGTCCATCCTCCTTTCTTTAATTACAAAGAGTTCAATGACGCAGTTGTACAAAACATTGTGCGGTTCAGTTCCAGCCAGAGGTCCTCCTGTGGACGTGTTCGTTGAGTTGTAGATCCACTCGGGTCTCTCCAAAAGTTTTCAAAAGCACCGTAGCTTGTCGTGCTATGGTGTCTTGTTGCTGCCTTGGTTAGCCACCTCATGTTAGCGTAGCGTAGCTCCAAACACCAAGACGCTCAGTTGCAAATAAAACGCATTCTTAGCCATAACATGTGCAACGCTTCTCCGACGCTGTCAGCCACAAATACCGTTCGTACAAATCCTTTTTCCTGGCTGGGTCAGGGCTGCTAGCTGTGGGGTTGGCCGACCCTTTCTTACGATGTCCATTTTTTCTGGAAATGTCCTTATTGAGAAATCCGTTTCTCCTCCTTCAGCCATCGAGTGTTAAAAAAACAAAGCTAGGTAAAAAAAAATCTACACCAAGCAAAACACTAAAAATGTCATGTCAATGTCATACTTCTTACATATCTTTCAACTTGAACTGTTACTACTAATACTAACTTCTGCTAGCTGCTTCAGCGTCACAACAGTCACGCTAGCCTACTGACCAATCACGCCACACGTTATTGCTGAGCTGCACGTTAATGCTGATGTATTGTAGACTACCTCGGTAGCTCTGGCACGTCAAAGAATACGCCCAACATGTCAAACTAAAGATCTGATTTGTTGAACACTGTGACAATCAACAATATCGTCTCCATTTACTTTACTCTGTAAAGTCTACCTAGAGGGCCTCTGGCCTCTCTTCTTACCTAGAGACAAAGAGGTGAAATCTGATTGGATAAAAGCTCTACTTAAAACAAGCTGCACTGGAAGCAGCGCTGCAGGCTGGAAGCAGAGCAACAGAGGAAGACAGTAGCTGTGCAATGAGAAAATAAGCTAATGGGAAAAATAATTGGAACACATGTAGTGTATTTGTGAAAAATTATTAAATTATAAAATAGCTATAACTTTGTGATTCTGTTTATGCCAGCAGAGAAGGCTTTGCTGGCCCTGACGGCCCACCACTGCCTACAATTAATCTAAGAGTTAGCAGACAGTTCCATCAAACATTAAGGAGAACCATCTTCTTCTTCTTCTTCTGTCCTTTGCCAAGAGATTTCTGGTAAGGCTATCTTTCCTGATGCAACACAACATGGCTAAAGAACCGCTGGTGCAGTAGGAGTCTAAAAATGTCTGTTACAGTTACAGCATTAAATCTGTGTGAGTTTACAAGTCATCACATTTCAATTTGCTTCAATTCACTATTCAATTCAGTTCCATGTTTATGTACTGTGTACATTATATACAGACATTTTTATTGCTGTTTAAGTGTTGATCAATTCGTTGCTGCATTCAAAAGGTTTATACTTGATTTGTTATTCCTGTTAATTTTGATGATTTTTTTTACCAAGGGGTTGGTGTATGAATTATTATTTGAATGAATAACAATTCTGTAAATAAAAATAAATATAGATGTATTTGTTACACTGTGTTTTACAAGGTTAGGAAAGCATTGTGTAAGTCAAGCCTGATGTTGTCTTATACATAAATAAATCCCAGTCTCTTCCACACAGTGAGGCATACAGCTCATTGATTAAACACTAGTATTGGATCGGTACTCAATATTGAATGCAATGCAAAGCCCAGGTATCGGGACAGAAAAAGTGGGATTGGTACAGTATACACCAGAAATCAGCAAACTTCGCGGGAGATATAAAGAGACACATTTAAGACTTGTTATGTCAACAAAAAAGTATTGGTTCCTTCTCTCAATAGCTCAGAATTATTTGCTATTGTAATTTTGTCTGGGATCAATGAACTCGAGGTTAAAATAACAAAATGCCAGTTGTTCATGAAAAGTCTTTATTTCCCTTCACTTCACCATGTTGAAACAGCAATAACACATTGGCTCAGTGTGTAAGCAGATGCTTCAAGCAATATATCTACTTATGTTGTTTTTTTAATCTTTATCATAAACGCAACAGCCGGCTGGATACAATACATAATGATGTATTTAGACATTTATACACCTAGCCGAGTTCCGATGACAGACGGTAATAAATGAGTCACACTGACAGACTGCAAGCAGATTGATAGACTTGACATTTCGGTTACTTGATAGATCTGTTGTCCTATTCATCGAACTACCCTCCATTCATCATTCCCAATGCTCTTAATATCACTGTGACATCTCTACACTGCTTTCAGATACTGAGGTCAAAATGAGCTTTATGTCCTGTAGTTATTAAAACCTACTACAGTGTGACAATATTACAAATGTAACACTCATGTCCCTAGCATCTTTACATGGCTGTGGGGTTGTTGATCTTGCCCATAAAGAGGATGGTCTTGGTCGAGTGCTCCAGGATGAAGACCATGAAGGGTCTGTCGAGTTTCATTACTTCAGGCATGCTCATGGGCATGACCTCGATGGTGGTGGCGCCCACTGCCTCTGTTCCTGTTTCATCCACGCTCAGCATGGCTTTGTGGGACACCTGTGGGCGAACCGAGAGGAGGCAATTAGTGTCTAGTTCCAATTAGAGCGCAGGTCTTGGAAAACTGTAGCTCACAAAGGGTCTTTGCAGGATTTACTATTTTATGTATTTGTGCCCATGTTAAAGAGTAATTGGGATTTCAATTCCCATAACAAACATGTGAGGGCGTGTTTGCTGATCCTACCTTTGAGACTTTGAGCTTGACCTCGTCGGAGATGCCAGAGAAATCAGCGTTGTCTGTGAAAGCGTCGACCATGCCCATTTCTTTCAGTGTGCTGTCCAGGGTGGCATCAGCGGAGATTGAGAACTTTGGCAGGAACAGATCCACAGAACTAAGAAACGCAGAACATCACCAGTGTTACAATCACTTGATTGAATCAGTCGACCTACAGCTTGGTCACTCAACTTGAGCTGTGCTAAACAAGGACACCTCATCTACTTAGAATTTTGTTGGACACCAAATTATCCAGGTTACAAGCCCACCAAACACCAAGACATTCCCTATGATCCTACAAACGACTACACTGTCACTATACACTTCACAGCCATCAAAAGGAGGATTCAAAAGAAAATGTAATTCCTCTCTTACCTCCTGAAAACTGAGTCATGCCAGTGCCTGATGTGGTCCTTGCAGATGTAGCCCTCCACCTCCTCCATCTTGCCTTGGTCGGGCAGGACAATCATCATGGAGGTGTTACCATGGTAGGGCAGCAGGATGACGGTGGTATGGTTGTCAACGTCCTGATAGAAGTCGTAGCGACCGGTCCTCTTCATCATGTCCACCTGCACCTTGGTGGTTTCGTCCACATTGAAGTCGGCCTTTTGTGTCTGGTTGCCATCGAAGGGTTTCACCCATCGTCCTGTAGGAGACAATGGAGGGGGAAAGTAATATAGTTGCTGAATGTCAACTAATATGATCGTGGTTTCGCATAATTTTTAAAACTTTGTTTTACATATTCATAGTATACACGGCCCTTGAGCTCCTTGAACTACTCAAGGAGATGCTCCTGAACCTAGATGTATAGTTGTGTGTTTTATCAAAATAGCTGGCTATCTGCATGAATGGTATTAATCAGTATTAATCGGTATGGTCTTGTGTCCTACCTTTGAAGTAGACATAGTTGATCAGCACCATGGCCATTTCAGCATCCAGGTCCTTCACCAAATCTTTGATCTTGTCCTGGGTTTTACCAGCAATGTATGCATTGATCTCAGCTGCAGCCTCCACAGGTTTGGTAAAGTCGACGTTGAAGACATGAGCAGAGTAGTATTGCTTGACATCCTTCAGGAACATCTCCAGAGGACTGAAGCCAGAGCGCAGGGCCACAGCGTTACCCACATCCAGTTGCTGATCCTCCTGGCTGCCTTCTACCATGAGAAAAAGATGCTTGTATGCTTCGTTGACCTCAGTCTGGTTGAAAGCACTGTAGCCCAAGCTGGAGAACATCTGGCGGTGGGTTTCACCCTTGGCCCCCGTAGACAGCATGGACAGGGCGGTGGAGATGCCCAGCGGTGAGAAGAAGATGTTCTTTCCAGCAGCAACGTTGGTACTCAGGCTTTTGTAGAGGGCAAAGCCGAAGTCAGCATTGGGAGGAGACAGCTTATGGCAGCTCATGTCTCCCTCGTGGCTGTGACCAGCAGCATGATCGTTGTGACCAGCACCATCGTGGTTGTGGTGGTGATGGTGGTGGTCTGCCCAGGCTGCAGCCAGCAGCAGTGCAGAAAGTGCACAACTAGCAAAGATCCCACGCATCTTTACAGCCTGTCCAGGGAAATTAAAAGTTGTTCGTTGAGCTCAGCCACAGTAAGTGATAGTGGTATTAGAATATATAGAACAATTTTAGGAATTAATGGAATGACAAGTGGATAATAGCCAATGATGAGTTAAACAGGGTACACTGATATGATTTAGCATCTAAATAGCTCTACACTTCCTAATTATTACATCTTATGTTAGAACTTCAAAAGTTTTACTTCCCAACCTGATTTTTACCAATGAATAAGTCTAATACTCTAAGGTTTCAAGCATTATAAGTGCTATATTCCTTCTAGATAAAGTGCCATGCTTACCTTTAATGTCCTCTTTGCTGCAGATGGTTTGCCAGAAACTCCCCATTTTATACAAGAGCTCTGAGAGTCAGCTGACAGTTGAGTCAAAGATTAACCAAGAGCCAGCCCCTATTCTCTGTCCTGTGCTAAGAGATATCAGCCCGGACTATCTTCAAAGAAGCAACACAACTCACTCACTCAGCACAAGTTTTGTAGTGTATTGCATAACGTACCTCCTTCATATTAACATTAATCATGACATTTTTGAAATCACATGTACAACAGAAATCACCGGGGTTTCATTACACAGGGAAACATGACATGTCCAACTGTAAAGTCACGCTGATTTTCATAGAGCCATTCTTCAATATTACTGATTGCATGTTCTCCCCGAGGCTGTGTGGGTTTCCTCCCACAGTCCAGACATACAGTATATTCTGTAGCATGCAGTGTATTTCAAGATGAAACTTTATTTAGCTTCATGCCAAACCATTAAACAATAAACACCTAACATGGTTAATGTCTAAACACATGTTTACTGACTTTATAATATCAGTCAGCTAGATGCAGTACAATGGATTATTTAGAGGGCTGTCTCAATCATCATGTAGTTGGCCTCAATCCTGATCTAATTCCTTCAACATTGGGAAGGCTATCTGCTGTTACTGAGAACAATCCAATAAATGTTGATTAAATATGTATCTGTACACTGAAATAGCAGATATAGCCTTTAAATCTGACATGAGCTACTCGATCAAAAATACTGAATACTCTACTAAAAAGATGATAATAAAAGAAAATGAGCTTGGGACATCTCTATCATAAACGTTTGTATATTCATTCGGGCTTTGGGAATAAATACTAAGCAGTGGGGAAACTAAAAACTAGGAAATGACAGCTATAATGCTACTGACCGGGAAAACACACAGGTTAAATGGATCTAATCCACTGATGGAACACAAGTGGGAAAACCATACGAAGGCAGGAAGTAAAAAAAGACATGTAATTTAAAAAAAAAACAGGAAGCAAACAAAAACCCTAGGAACATGACAGTTACAAGTTCTTGGTTGGGGGGGTGAATTGGCCCCTTCTTGATTAATAGGCTGACATTTCTGCTTCTTGTGATAGATCTGTTGTCCTGTTCATCAAACTATCCTCTATTCATCATCTCCTCAATGAGCTCAATGTCATCTCCACAAGGCTGTGTGATGCTGAGGTAAAACTGCAGTGCGAAAATGTAACACTGTTTTCACGAGTTTTTCCTTTATGTATTGGGCGAATAAGCCTTGATGTTTCTGCAGAGCAATTCTTCAGTAATTGCACAAGGCGATAAAGAGATGGGTTGCGATGTGAAAAAAGAAATGACAAAAAAGCACATGCTTTTGTAATGGAAGAAAAGTGTTTTATGTTTTTGCAAGAATAGCAGGGATTCAGTCACAGGGATAAATGACTGCCATTTGAATTTCTTTTCATCATTTTGTGTAAATGGGAAAATAAACTGTAAATCAGCCTGTAATGTTTGGGAAAATTGGAGGTAAAACAAAGCACTCTGCAATTTTGATGTAATTGCTGGAAAAGCATTTCTGTCCCCAGAATGATATGCCATGCTATTGGGAAAAAATACAAATGATGTAATGTAAGTGAATGTAGTATTTTATCAATAGCAAAGCACAATGAAGCTACTGTGTTCACTTCAGTCTAGACATCTGTGGGATCGATAATTCTCCCCATGAGCAGGACGAGCCCCGTGAGATCGTCGTAGATTATGAGCATGAACGGTCTGTTAAAGGTAATCCTCGGGGGAACAGAGAAGTCCAGCGTGATGTCAGGTCTCCCCCCATCTTCGTACTTGGTCTCTTCCACCTCGAGCATCACCTCATGAGGAGCCTGAAAAAAGGGACAGAAACAGAAGAAAAGACAGAATAAACAGAGTGAATTTGAGCAGTAGAGAGAGATGTGAAGAGAAAGTATAGTTCAGCATGTCCAATGCATCAATGAAGGGGAATTTCTGAATGTGTAATAAGGTCTCAACCAAGCGCCTGTGCCTGGTTGTTTTATGGTAATCCATTCTGGCAAAGAAAAATAGGATATTTTCGTTCTCTCTTAACCTTGGCAAGTTTCAGAGTCTTCTGCGATAGTCCAGAGAAGTCGGCTGAGTGTGAGAAAACCGATGATACCCCAGAGTTCCTCAGGAGGTTTTCTAAATTGTAGGATTTCCTTAGTTGGAACTTAGGGAAACGGATTTCTGCTCGCCTGTGAAAACAACAATCAATGTTTTAATGGATTTGCTCTAAGTTGTCTTGTTACATGGCTGGGACCCATACTGCAGGCTTTGGCTCACTGATGTGTCGAGAGCAGTAATTGTTGCTGACTTAGAATCCACTCAGTATCATTCATCATGCTAGCAAACAACAGAAAGCCAGTGGCTGCAGGGGACCAGTGCCATGACACGGATAAATATGCTGTATACTCAAGGATAAGCAAACGCTCTTTATAGAGGGCATTCACTGTACATGGACACCCAGACCCATATATACCACCACATGCTTCCCCACTAACCACTGAGCTACACAACACACAAGTTAAAACAAGCTGAAATAAATGCTACCTTTGCGTTGTCAAATGGGTTAGTTCAAACATAGTGTGTCACTTGCCCTTGCATGGTCTAGCCACACTTCATTTGCCTTCAATTAATACAATGGAGGTGAATGGATTTCCGTTCATGGTGTTCACACTATTTATAAATTGCGTGAAAAATTATGCATTCATGTTTCTTCGCAGGAACAGCATGATGATTGCTCTGGGTGATTTAGCACGGATTTATACAGAGTTTGCAGAAAAGTGGAAAAAGGAAACTGCATCTGATACCGTTATGTAAATGTTTGGATCGGTTCATCGAGATGAGCAGCTGGTGGCGGTGTCATTAAACCATTGCAGAAGAACAGTGTAAAAACGAGATGATTAAAAGAGCGCTTGTCACACCTTGAATGGATGGAAGTGATGTGGGAAACATGAGGTGGATGTTGCATTTATGTTTGCTTCATGTATGCATTTGAAGAAGGTTGCAGTCTCCTCGTCGCTGCTGCCTATAGTGCCTGTGATGCTGTGGAATTTCCAAAATATGTAAAAATGTTCAATGCTGTGAGCACAACAAATTCAATTCCATTCACCATAATTAGACCTGGGAGCCAAAATCTCAAAGACAGATATCCAGGAGACATAAAAAAATTAATTAATTGTATTTTGGGTGTACCAGCCCCCTCAAATGTTGCCTTTCTAGCTTTACAATCACTGTGTTTTGTAACAGTTCATGGCCTCATATTGAAGCTTGTTTTCTGAATCCTCTTCAGTAAGAGTTTGATTGGTAAAATTAAATAATTTCATCTCATCCTTAATTCTGCTGACTTATGTTAAGTCCATGCAAGTACTCAAAAAAGCATGAGCGTGAGAGGACAGCTTGACAACATTTTGCACCTCGTTCCTGTTCAACAATTTTGGCCCTCTCCCACCTACCCCGGCTTCAGGTTTCTGCGCCAAAAGCTCATGCGTTCGTCAGAGAGGCAGTCCTCGAGGGGCTGCAGCTCCGCTTTAGGAAGCAGGAGCAGCGAGGCCAGGCGCTGGGAGTGGGCCAGCCGCACCACCGTGGCTGAGCAGTTGGTGTCGTACAGCATCATCACCTCAGAGGAGTCGTCCCCAAACATCATGGCAACCTCCACGCTGGTAGTGGCGTTCAGCTGGAAGCTCCTTGGCACCGTGTGCTGCCGCGCAAATGGTTGACGACCTGATTCACGTGTCATTGATAAAGGGAACAGGTGACAAATGAAATAGGAACACAGATTGGCAAAGGTAGAAGTTGCACACCTATAAAAAGCACCTGCTGTGTAAATTCACCACCATCAACTGTCACAAGAGAGCATCTGCTCTATATAGACAACAATGACTGATGCTGTGCAGTGGGTGGTATTGCATTGACACAATGAGCACATTGTGGAAGTGTACTGACTTTACTTTTACAAATGTAGCAGCAGTTAATTCTCATTTTAAGCTTAATATGTTTTTGAAGGTGTATGGTTCTCTTCTGCAAATCTGTCTGATTGTTCACAACCTTAATGTGCATGAACACCTCCCAGCCTTATGTTGAGAATATGCATGTACAAAAGATGAAACTTTCATCAACCAGGAGCTACCTTTGAAATACACATAATTGGTAAGTTCAAGTTTGTCAGAGGCTTCCAAGTCTTTCATCAACGTGTCAAAGCTGGCGTTGAAGGCGGTGGCGTGCCGAGGCCTGAACATGAAACTGTTATAGTCTACTGAAGGTTTTCCATCAATATGTAGGCTGCTCCACACTCTCAGCTGACCACCAGGATGAACCCCATCCTCAGTTCCATTCCTACTCTCCGCCCCATCATCTACATCAGTTCGGTTTCCAGCACCTTCCCCTTCAATTTCCACCCATGGTGTTGCCCCAATCCCAGCTCCTGTTCCAGCTCTAGATTCTGCCCTTTGAACCCAACCTCCCTCATGTAGAGTGAGGCTGCGTTGCAGATTTGCAAGAGCAGATAAGGTGGCCTCCACGCTCTGCTCTGTAGCATTGGCCGCCAGCCCCAAGGCCTCCAGGGCCTGGCTCCGACTCTCGGACACAGACACTCGGGACAGCAGCGCCAGAGCTGACGCCAGGCCCAAGGGCGAGAACAAGATGTTGTGCTGTTGCTGCTCAGCAGCGGTGCTGGTTGCCAGGTCACGGTACGGCTCAAAAGCCAAGGCTGTGTTTAGGGCTGATGTGTTGAGCTGCTGATTGACCTCTTGTTCCCTTCGCAGAGGCCTGCTGATGAGTTTCTCAGGCTTTGGTAAAACCGACACATCTGCTGTGAGGCCTGTTAACCATGCCAGCGCTGTGAGACATGTAAAACCATACATGACAAACACCATAGCTTTTTCTCTCACCATCCTGGCCTGGCCTGATTCTGGGGCGCTGCAGGTTGATCTCTCATAAGACCGGCAAAGCTACAGCTGTGGGGAAGTGTTGTTCTCGTGGCTTTGTGCAGGGGGTGGCGGCGGTGTCGAAAGTATATTGATCTCCGAGGGCTGAGCTTTTGACCCGTGGGTTGAGCTCCAAGCAAACAAAGGCGGCATGTTTTTCAGTTTCTTAGAATTCCAGTGTGTGTGTGTGTGTGTGTGTGTGTGTGTGTGTGTTTTTGGTGGATAGTGAGGACAGGGCATACTCATTCCCCCCTTTAATACACATTCTGGTCAATATGGATTTTGAACACTTATGCAACAGATAAATACTTAAAGGTTGCCCTAGTTTTACTGTGTACAAACTGGTATTGCGACAAAGATATTGAGCGTGTGCCTTGTAAACATCGAACAAAAAGTTCGGAAATTAGTGTTTGGTAGATTATTTCTCTGTTGTAACAATGCTTCTTGGCAAATCTTCTCTGCCAATGCCAAACATCTTATTCTGCTGTTGCTATTGATTGTCAGGCCCGTTTGCGCTGGTGTCGACAACACCTGCACTGGAGCCTGAACATGTGGAGGAACGTTATGTTCAGCGATGAGTCCAGATTCTGTCTAAGGAAGTTAGATTGTAGGGTCAAAGTGTGGAGAAGACGGGGAGAACGCTATGCTGATTGCTGCACCGATAGAGTAACATCTTTTGGTGGAGGCAGTGTGATGGTGTGGGGCGGCATCTCCATCACTGGAAAAACGAGGCCTGTCTTCATTGGAGGCAATCTCAATGCAGAGAGATATCGAGATGAGATTCTGCAACCAGTGGCAATCCCATTTCTCCACAGTCTGGGACCGAACTCCATCCTCTAAGATGAAGACGCTCGCCCCCACAGAGCGGTTTATCAGAGACTACCTCCAGAATTTGGGAGTAGAGAGGATGGAATGGCCTGCCAGCAGTCCTGACCTCAACCCAAGTGAACACTTGTGGGACCAGCTGTTCGTGCCAGAGTGACCAACACAACCACGTTGGCTGACTTGCGACAAATCCTGCTTGAGGAGTGGAATGCCATCCCACAGCAGTGTGTGAGCAGGCTGGTGACCAGCATGAGGAGGAGCCAGGCTGTTGTGGCTGTGTATGGTTCTTCCACACGCTACTGAGGCTCCTGTTTGTTAAATGAATAAATTGTAAAATTGCCAATATGTCTTGTTTCTTCCTTGTTACTGATAGACTTCAATCATCCAATCCACCAAACAACACCAAACAAGAGTCGATAGCAAATAAGCAAATAAGCTGTTTGGCATTGGCAGAGAAGATTTGGCAAATCTTTCATGGGCGCAACCCACATACTCAGCTGTGCTGCTCATCCCGCAAATGCATGTTCCTTACAAATGGGGCACCGTTTGAAAGGTAACTAAACAGGCTTTCCAACGGTATAACATTTATTGCCAAGAATCATTGTTACAACAGAGAAATAATCTACCAAACACTAATTTCCGAACTTTTTGTTCGATGTTTATGTCTACGGCACCTCGAAATACAATATTTACATGACTGGTTTGATCTCGTGAAAAGGACTAGAAGATATATGAAGAATAAGAAGATTTATTTTTTATATCTCATAGTCACAAAGAAAAGTCTGCGCTGTTGATCATCTTTAACTATCACACAGTATCTGTAGAGATGAGGACAATGATACAGTACACAATGATGGAAGTGACAGTGAGAGTCTGCGAAATTTCAAAGTGCTCATTAAATATGATCATCTTAGTTTCACAGTGTCAATACAGTATCTCATTAAACAGCAGGTCTTGTGGGATTCTCAGCAGTCGACGCCGTGTGACAGTTGCTGTGATGCTGCGACGCCACCATGTGGTTTATAAAATCAATGAAAGTATTTTAAATTGAAAGGTGGATCTCTGCCTGAAAAATAAATTGAATACACAGAGCATTTTGGACATGAACAAACACCTCACATCCCATGTCCGGTCGTGTGTGCAGGGTAAGACAGAGTAGCTGACAAAATGTGTATTAATGGGGCTAACAGCAATAGTGCTGTGTTTTATCTGAAACCCAAATGACTAATCATTTCTGCTGGCAGCAAAAAGCAAACACAGTCATGAAGTGTTGCCTTGAGGGGAATTGTGTGACCCAGATAAAGAGTCAATCCAGCCCTAAGTGTCCTTGTTCGGCTTGTTAGTGGAAACTGGGCTAATAAGCATATCTTAATAAGAAGGGTGCACTGCAGGGGGACTCAGAAGATGAAGCAGCAGTAGAGCAGGATCCACAGGACCAAGAGCATCTCCAGCTCTAATGGGGTTATGTCACAAGGAGCAGCTGAGGATTGAGGGATGAATCCCCCCTCTCTGTTGAACAGCAGATAAAACAAACCAGTGTTAGATTCAGACTACAATGAGGCACTTTAGGCTGATGTTTAATTTAAATCAAAGCAATAAACACAGATACAAATGTAATTATTTGTGCAGTCTTTATGGATGAACTAACCATTGATTGACCAGCAGTTTTTGAAGTGGTGTGCCTGGCAGTGCGGTAAGAGATATATTAAATATATTGTATTTTAATGGACCCCATTTTGGGCATCGCCACCTTGGCTTTTTGCCGTCACCATCTTGTTTTTTTGCTACCAGAAGTGACATAAGAGGGCGGAGCTAAATACAACCAAAAGCTGAACAGGACATTTTGAGGTGACCAAAATGTTGCAATTAACTTTCATGAAGTGAAAGTTAATTACTTCAGCAAAGGCAAAAAAACTCCTTTGTCAGGTTTGGGCAACAAAACAACTAAGGTAAGGTTTGTAAAAAATATATATATATGATGGTTTGGTTTAAAATGATTGAAATTGAAACAAAACCCAAAAAGAAATGAAACAAAACTACATGGTAATGTTTAGGCAACAAAAGTACTTGTTTCATTCGTAACAGAAGAGTCATTATTTCAAACATATTAAGTAGTCACTCTCCCGTTATCATTGCACCATGTGCCATGCTGGTACGCCTAAACAGTTACCATAATTAAGTGCTCAGCAAATGGTCAGTTGTGCTTGTACAAATCCACGACCTACCTGAATGACTGAGAAGTTGCAGTACAGGCAGGAGTCCAACCGCTTTCAACACCACGGACATTAACACCTCCATTAGTGTCATTTTTGGGGGCCGTTTTACCGGCTATTGTTGCCGTGTTGCCAGTGTGTTCACGTCTCTTAATCTTAAGGTTCCTGTCTTGTCGCTCCGCTGCAATAACTTCAGAAGTCATGACTTCATCACTGGATTCTTCCTTGTCATCTTCACGAGTTAATTCTTCCATGTTTGGGCCATTTTCTTTCCCGTCATTTCCTCCTTTGATGTTTATTCTAGTTTCATATACAGTCTCATCAGTTATTATTACTTCATGTACTCCTACCTTGAAACGTTCTAAATTCACAACACTTTGCTTAGTTTCCCTCTCCTCATCCTTATCATCTTCCTCTTGTTCTTTACCTGACTTTCTCTCCTGCCCTTCCTGAAATTTTGGCACATTTTCCTCCTCTTTTTCGTTGTCCATCACTCTGTTTTCAAGTCCTCCTTCAGTCTGTTTCTCAACTTCTATCTTATAACTATCCACATCAAAAAGCTTTGAGTTCTTTGTTTCACCCATCAGAGCTTCTCTTTTATCACATCCATGCTTCACCAATCTCGCATTTTCTGTCATTTCCTTCTTCCTCTCTCTCTCACAGCAATCACCCTCATCATTACTCTGTCGTCTAACAACTCTCTCGTCTCCACGTTCCTCTCTGCTTCTGCTGTCCTCCTCTGGCTCTGTGTCAAACACAACTATACCGTGTGCCATCACTCTGGAACTACTTTCACTTTTGTCCCATTCAAACATCCTATGAACCCCTGACTGAGCCCTGACCTCTGGTTCAACATTTTGTGCTAGTGAGTCTTCTTGATGCTCACTCCCGTTTAATGTATTCTTCAATACTTCCAGATGTTTTGACTCTTCAGTCTGTTCTCCGCTCAGGAACATGTCTTCCTCTGTTTCCTCTTCAACCCTTGGCACTTGTCCTTTCAGCTTATTATATGGTTGAAAATCCTCGTTCTTCAGATCCAGGATGTAGCTGTAGGCATCCTCCTCATCTGAGTCCAGTGCTGACAAGCTGTAGATTCCTTCCTCTGAGCTCAAAGAAAGGTGACTTTCATCCACTCTGGGCTTGCTATCGGCCTGATCCGCAGATGCGTTCTCCATCCATGATCGGATCTCCTGGCTGACTATGTTTGCTTCCAGAGGACTGGGTGGCTGTAAAATGCTTCGACTCCTGCTTCTTTTTTTGTTGAATGGTGGCATGGCCTCACTAGTTTGAAGCAAGGTGTTTTGGGGACTCCCTGAGGATCTTCGGGCCCAGCGATTCCACAGTAGCTGCTCGCTGCTCTTCTCTAAGCTTTGGACTGCTGCTTGGGCTTTAGGGTCGTCGGCGTGGGTCTCTCCAGAGCTCACAGACTCGAGTGATCCAAAATCTGGGATCTCAGGAACTTCGATATCTGCTGTATGGTCCTGTAATATAGGGTTTAGTGGTGAAAGTTACATTATACCACTGGAATAATACCCAGAAACCCATAGTGTTTATCAATACATTCGTTTTTGGTGCTAAAGGAATAGTATGATATCTTAGGAAATAAGTTGATTCCCTTTTTTCCCTGAGAGTTAAATGAGAAGATTGATACCTTTCTCTAGCTGTGCAGTTACAGTGGTGGGCCGTCAGGGCCAGCAAGGCCTTCTCTGCTGGCCTAGACAGAATCACAAAGTTATAGCTATTTTATAATTGAATTAGTTTACATAAATACACTACATCTGTGACTGATTCTTGTGAGTTTGTTCTTGTCATTGTGTTAATTACGTTGATTTTGACTATATGCATTGTCCGTTAATAACGAAGCATCCCATCATGCTGGCCTCATAATGAGGTTATTAGGAGGTGGTTCAACTGTAGTAGGACAGCAGGGAAGGCCCAGGTCTAAAATACACGGCCCGCCACTGGCATTTAACCTGTTGCCAGTCTTTAAGGTAAGCTAAGCTAGGCTAAGCTAACCATTGACTGGTGGTAGCTTCATATTCGACAGACTGATATGAGAGTGGTATCAATTTTGTCACCTAACTCCTAACCTATAAGGCAAAAAGCAACTAAGTCGAGCTACTCAAAGACGTACTAACTTCATCCGTGTCTGAACAATGGCTCAGAAACATAGACACATAGGTGATGATGGACTGCTCATCTGGTGAAGTGCCAGACACATCTGCAGAAAAGAAGAATGGACAGTTTTCTTACATTAGATGTTAGACTAAAGGAGACCATCCTGCTGTGTGAGGGCCTATTTGAGCCTTTGTATGACTCTTAAGATACAATAAAAGTGACACTACACACGGCAATGACCTTTGCTGCTCATTTCGAGTGAGTTTAACTTCTACATTGATCAGGAAAGCTTTGTGCTAAGTGCTTCTGATTTACTCTTTCAAGCCTTTGATAGGTGGTATCATTACACCACGTTGGGCTTCTAACACCTACTTAGCGTAGGACTGTCTATGTGAAGAAGGAGAAAGTTGTCTTTGTTGATGAAGTTGGATCAATGTGAGCCACTTTTTACCTTCTGGCTCCAGCAGAGGCGGTATATCCAAACTGTGATGGGCTATCGTGAAGGCCAGCTGAATGTTTTCTCTTGGATGTCTGGACAGGCTCTCCCTCAGGTCCACCAAGTCTGGGTTTATGAACTTAATCATAGCTAGGAATGCAAGCCCACTCCTCCAGCTCCTGCCAAAGTCATGCACCTCCACCCCAAACCTGCAAATTTTAAATTGCATGATCGTAACACCAAACTTCAACACAGCCAGCTCGCACATTGTGCTTCCCTCATTGTGGTTGTAGAGGTAAACACTTGGGTTTGGAAGGTTTTAATTGACAAAAATGACTTTGTAAGCGGTTGGCTCTTTTTCAGACTCACTTTGATGTGCATCTTTGGACCCATTGCAGCAGAGTCTTTATTGCTTTCCCATGGTACTTTGGCTCTCTGGCAGCCTTTCTGCCTTTGCTTGGCAGGGTGTTGCAGGAGTAGCTGCCAATGTCATTTGGCTGGGGTGGGAGGTCGCTGGAGGAGGGGTAACTGCTCGTGGATAAGGAAGAGAGGCTGGAAGAGAAATGCCTCTGGAGGCCTCGCGATACTTCCTTTACCTGTATGAGAAGAATGTACAGGTCAGTTACAAAGACTACCACCCAGGCAAGGAGGGAAATAACACATGAAGACATGAGGGTAGATTATGGGGGGGGGAGACCTGCCTGGAAATACAGGATCATATTCCAGACAAGGTTAAGAACAGCAGAGGGGATCCCATCAGCGATACCTGAGGCATCGATGCCAGGCAGCTTCACCTGAGAGACAACAGGGAGGAGACATCACCGGATATCCAGGTCTTCCGGATTCGATTGTAAGTTTAACGCACATCAAAGCAAAGTCACTGAACAAACAAACACACTCACGTGTCTATCATCCAGGAAAGCCAGAGCCTTGGAAATGTTGTTCAGTCTGAAGATGCGGTGAGAAGATGACCTAAACCTGTAAAGCTGACGAAAGACATCACACAAGGAGCGTTTTTTTAGTATTTTGAATGTGTTTTAAGGATCCTATAGGCTCACAAATATGGTGCAATTGCTAGTGAACTGAACGGAAATGGAAAATGAAATAACTTATTAGTGTTGGATTATATTCTTCTTCTTGGTGACATAAAATACTTCCACTATAAAGCCTGACTCTTACTAGCTTGCACCCGGACAGGTCCTCCAGCAGAGCCATCAGTATTCGTCCATCCTGAATGTCTGTGAACAGGTCGTGCACCTCGACTGGAGGATCGCGCTGGAAACAACAAATGGTAAACCTTATTGGTGACTGCGTTTCTGAGCTGGAGTGTAGTGTTACGGTAACTCTGTATTGATTTGTGCCTTACTCTCTGCAGAAACACATTCATCCACCTGGTGAAGGCTCTCCTCTGCACTGCTCTCCTCTCATCTGGGGGAGAGGAAACAGGAGCTTGCCACTGAATACACTGCAGTTTTATGATTAAACCCGATGTAGCTGTGTGGCACATGAGGGATTTTGAGTTTGACTCGTTTGTCTGGCAGAATGTGGGAAAACGGCACATATGCGTTAACCCTAACTGCAGACTATGAAGACATTTATAAAACTGAAGCAGATCTTTCAGAAGCAAATCATCCACAAGTGAAAAAGAACGTGTAAGATTGGGCAACCAGATGCATCGATGCCAAAGACACCTACCTGGAAAATGACTATGAGGAAAGGCAGTCAAGAAAGGAAAAGAAAATGAAATGTCTTGCAACGTGTTCTGTTCTTACAAGTATACACAGTGACTTAACACACTATTATCACACAGTGGGTCAGTATTTCCCCACTACTTTTGGTATTTTCCCCAGTATTTTCCCCAGTACTCCCTCTGGAACTCCCTGCCCCAACACCTCAGACATTCTCCGTCACTCGCCACCTTCAAAACTGCACTTAAAACTCACCTATTTAAATCTGCTTTTAACCTCTAAAGTCAGTCATGTATGTTTTCTTTCTCTTCGTGTTTATTTTTTTCTTACTGTTATGTTGTAGATTTTGTTCTTATAAATGCTTTTATTGTTTCTGTTTTTACCATGTAAAGTGTCTTTGAGTGCCTTTTAAAGCGCTATATAAATAAAATGTATTATTATTATTATTATTATTTGTAGTTCTAGTCACAGTACCTTGAGGCTGCTGCACACGTTGATCACTGATCTCTCCCTCTGATTTCCTCTGTGAATCCCCGTTGGCCTTGTCCGGCATTCTCATTCCACCTCCCTTGTCTACTTATGATCCATCGTGGAGATAAAGACGGGAGGACAATACAGAATGTCTGGCACTCTGAGGAATTAGAGGTGCTCCGAGGTTTCCTTCCAGAATAAGGATGAGGCAAAGACAAAGTGAGGCGGCATGTCTTGCCTGAACACGCTCCGCGGTGTTGATCGAGTCTGGCTTCCACTCCCCCTGAGACGATCCCACCTGAATCCTACTGAAGGGCTGTGGTTCACAGAACTATGTGGAGGCAGGCAGTCACATGACTTCCTTAACGGTTCAAAAGGAAGGAATCAGCTGGGATCGAGCACTGTGTGAGGTTACAGGTGGTATGGTTTCCCTGCAGAGGCCTGTAGTAAATATCTTTCTGGTTTTCATAACAGGGTTCACTGACATAAGCATGTTCCGCTCAGACTTAAGGATGAAAAGTCTGGCTTTCACAAACGGAGTGAGCAGATGTATGGTTTTTACTTTCCAGTATTCACACATAACATGTGTTATCTATAGAGATGGGTTGACAGCACAGGCAAGTGGACTTTTTTTCCCCCCAGTTAAACCTGGAACTGAAATTTTCTGTTAGACTTGCAGCCCATCAAAGTCTCACCACCAACAGCTGGTGTCACCATCTTAAAACATACTACAGAGTCAAGCTTTTCAAACATGGTATGTCTTTATTAGACAGTGACAGTAGACACATGGCAGGAAATGAAGAGAGAGAATCATGGGTTGTACCATGAAACAAAGGTCAGACACCTGAAGCAGGCATTCAGACACAGGTCCAGTTGGAGTTGCAGATACATAAATAAACCTGAAAAGTTGGGATGCCCCGATAGCTCATTTGGTAGAACTGGTGCCCCGTGTACTACGGTTGAGTCCTTGCCACAGTGGTCTGTGGCCCTCTGCTCCAGGTCGTCCTGTCTCTCGCCCCTGTATCAAATAAAAGCAAAAAATGGCCAAAAAAAGATCTTAATTTTTTTTTTACTAAAACTATTTTTTCCCAGGGTCCTTTATGTTCAACTAGCCAGCTTGATTTAAATGAATTAAGGCAACATTTTTTCAAGCAGGGCTGGAGTCGGTGTGAATGTGGGCTGACGTTCACCAACAGCATCCTAACATATTTAGAAAGTAGGGCTTCTACTCTGTCCAGTTTGGTCACTTGGAGCCTGAGAAAAGTGAGTCTCCTGTTCATACCAACCTCCAATGGCTGCTGGAGAGGCACATCTCAAAGTGACATTCCATTTTGAAAAATGTATGACATGTAATTGGCTCACTTTGTAGAATTATAAAACATTGATGAAAGAACACACAGAGGAAAGTTTTCCATCACTTAAGAATATCTGTGTGAACCTAAACCCTCATGTTGGATCTTAATGTGTTGCAATGAAATGTGTAGAACAAGCTGTGAATTGCAGCCCATGCTTTCTGCAGCGACCTACATTTTATTACGCTCTGCAGTATATTTCTCACTCGAACTCCGCAGGGAACTTCAATGCATGTTTAATGAGTGAAATCTTCCAGAGAGCAGAATCCCTTATGAGAAACTTCTCATGTATAAATCATATCAGCACGAGCTGAATTCATTTCAAAAGAGACAAAATGTGAAAATGCACATTGAAGAGAGTCAAGTCAAATCAACATGGAATAACAGCACATGAACTAAGACTAACATTTGTTCTGTAAATCGTCCCGTTCAATTTCAATAAAAGGGGTTTAATATACCAGAATATTTTACATGAATGCAAGTTTGTGCGATTTATGAATTCATTCATTTTGATCAAAGTTATTGAAGCAGCCTGCTCCTTGATTGCTCGTTAAACGCGGTTATTGTGACAGTTGACAGTGCTCGACAGGAAGAGCTCCCCCTGTTCCAAACAACATCGGGCCGTCAGGCTTTACTCTACCTGCCTTAAGAAAGGTGACGGCCACAGAGCGAGACCACCACCGCCGTGGAAAGCAGGAGTCTGTCCAAGGAACATCGCACGTGAATCTCCTGAGCCTCCAGAAGTCACGCCTTTTCATTCTTTGAGTTACTTTCTGCCACCTTGTTGTGCCCACAAGCAATGGTCCATGCAAGGAGCAGCTTCACAAGGCTGCAAAGACTGATACCACAAAAACATAGGTGATGGTGCACACATGCACTCACCGGCATATCGAATATTACCTTACTGGTTACTCATGCGTTGCATCACTGTCCAACAGTGACTACACCAAAAAGAGAATTCAGCAATCTAAATGAGAATAAACCAGATAACATGTCCATGTATACTCGTATTTTTATTAAAACATCCCATTCAAATGCTTAGGATTCCCTACAACTCAACAATGCAATCATGTCCAATTTCTGAAAACACGATCATACTTTTGGGCTCCAGAAGACGACAGCCCACCTGACCTGCGAGCTGAAACATGAGAACTAAAAAAAAAAAGAAAAAAAAAACACTTGAGATGATGGAAAGCATAATGAAAAGTCGGAAGTGTGTCAACGTGTCTCTTTTCTAACATTGTGTGATTGAAATCATACACTTAAGCCGAGCAGTCCATTCAGGTTTGTGAGAGAGTAAAATGGGGAGCACATCCACGTGTGCCTCGAGTCTTTCAGAGCCCCCTGGCTTCATGATCGATCATCACAATGTCACTTCCGAGGAGCATTAACGCCGGTCACGTTACCCGGTCGGAGCAGTCAGAATCATTTCCTCCCCATGATGAAGCTAGGAGCCTCGGCATCATCGTCAGCCTCTCTGTCCCCATCTTCCTCCTTGTCTTCGTCACTGCTGTCCGAGCTGTTGTCGGCGTCGTCTTCTTTCTTGTTTTTGGACTCGAGCTTCGCTTTCTTTGCCATCTCCTTTTTCTGCTTCAGCTTTTCCCGCTTCTTCTTGCGCTTTGCCGTTCTGTCATCGGCTGCCAGTTTGTTCTGCTCCACCTTGTCCAGATAGTCCTGGTCCTCGTCCTGCTTATCTGCAATCTTGTCCAGAAAGTCCTGCCTCTGGTACTCTCTGCGTCGGAGGTGCCGGTAAACATGGAACTCCCCGCTGCCTGCACCGGCGCTGGAGCCCATCACGTCTCGGACGAACTCCGGCGGAGCCCGCGGGTTCCATTCTTTCGGCCGGTCTGGGATAGGAGCTGGCTTATCCGGGTTCCGCATTAACCTCTCCAACTTTAGACGCTGTTCCTCCGCCGGAGTTTTGGCGATTATCAGAGGCTGAGCCTCTTTTCCTCCAGATATTCCCGTCTTGTTATTCTTCTGCGTGTGCGCCGCCATCTTTCTAAACGCCGCAGTCTTCTTCTTCTGTGGTCAAGTCGCCCCGGAAGTTATTGAGGGCTTCTGCTACCGGGAAATAATTATTTTACTTTTTTTCTTCCTCTTTTACAATATTGCCTTTTTCCAAATAATATGTAAAACGGAAGTTATGTGTGGTGGTTTCAATTTGTTTTTATTTATCGTAACTTTGAATCATTCCTTGTGTATGTAATGTAAATAACGCGTTGCTGTACCAATGGAAAACCAATCTGAATTTGTTTGGGCGCAGCTGTCCAATCAGCGTTCACGTCCCGCCCCTTCACGCGAGCGCCATCAACGCACGTCACGTCAGTCAGACTGTCTGGTTACACTCCGGTCTGTTCAGAAGCAGGTGAGACTCTTTCCACGACATTGTAGCTCAACATATAAAGATATTAATTACCAAAGACCATGAACAGTTTAATTAGATCTACGGCGAAGTGTCTGCGGACGGGGGCGGCAGTCTATCTGCCCCGACAGACCGACGGACGCGTATGGTCCGCCTCGGCCCGGTTCCTGTGCGCGGCGGCGGACGTCCCAAAAGACCTTGGTGAGATGGTGAAGAAGGACAAAGTGGTGGTGTTCATGAAGGGGACGCCGGCGCAGCCCATGTGTGGCTTCAGCAATGCCGTTGTTCAGATCCTCCGGATGCACGGGGTGGACGACTATGCTGCATACAACGTACTGGAGGACTCCGAGCTCAGGGAAGGTCAGTGAGATAACCGGTTCATGACATGACAACAACTTGTCACCTTTCAATCTAACTTGGAACTTTCCGCTAAACTTCTTCATGCTTGACAGTGGAAGTGTTACAAGACAGTTTGCTTGTAGTAGATCTATCAGTCTCAGGCAGCTCTCCTTGTTATTCAACTACACGTTTCATTTTATTGGAACATTCAAACCAACCATACATGTCCGCCTTTTGTCAACGGCCCTCTCTAACTAGGTTTGGAGATGTCTAAGTGTGAAGTTGTTATCAGTGCTCTGCAGCAGGACTAAAGGGTGTGGTCCTTTTTTAGTATACCATCAATACAGACATGCCAGAACTCCAACCTCTCCTGTTTTACAATGGTGGCACATATGTTAAGGAACAAGGAACTGTTCCTGTAGTTACATCAGCTCTGCCCTTTAAAAGGGAATTTGTCAATGGAGGCTTATAATGCAACAGCAGAGTAGTGCCCAGACAGCACAGCAGTTCACCCACAATCCAGTGGATGTGGGGTTTGAAGTGTGAGCAGGTCGTGATGGTTCCTGACCTCAAAGACCTCAATCTAGATATTTGACTTAACTCGGTGTAAAGAAGTTGACACTCCTATTGCTAACAGACGAGTTTAACCAAAACTATAAACACATTAACAAAGGAGGTGAGATAAACACCTTTTTTCTGGGAAATAAAATCCCCTGGAACATGGCATGGAAGTGAAATGTACTTCCAGTAACTTGTCACATGATTCGCTCTAGCCTGACACCTGATATAGTTTTGGTTCTGGGTTATTTCTGACACCAACGCTATCTGCCTTCCACAGGAGTCAAGGCCTTCTCCAACTGGCCCACGATCCCTCAGGTGTACTTCAGCGGCGAGTTCGTGGGAGGCTGCGACATTCTGCTCCAGATGCACCAGAACGGGGATCTGGTGGAGGAGTTGAAGAAGCTGGGCATCAGCTCCGCACTGCTGAAGGCGGAGAAGGAGTCCAAGTAGAGGAAGAGGATGAACGTGGAAGAGCTGACGCGACAGAGGACACATTTATCAGGTTTAATCCCCCACTCAGATGATCACAGTCAAACGGACTCTCTAGGCAGCCGTGGGTAAAGTCCACTCACCTCTCTGGCCAATAAGGCGCAGCAAGACCGCTGATGAAAAATTACAAGTGAAAGCAGTTCTAGTGGCAGCCATGTTTCTTTAGTTCTGGACATTTTGGTTTGTCCCACACCTATGAAGAGCTCAGAGTGCTCCTGGTGCACTGATCATGTATCCCAAATCACTTTTATCCAACTCTCTACCCACATTCATCAGTCTCTCTTTAAAGACACTTTTCGGGGCAAAAGCAACAAGTTGCAAACACCACAATGACCTATTTTGATATAACAAGCATTCACTTGGAGGCATGCAATGAAGTCCAATATTCACATTCTCTATAGGCCCCCTGAGAATAATATGTGACTCTTAGGCCCCTAAATGCTCCCCTTTGTTCAACAGCTAGTTGCTAACTGTGTCTATGTGCCATTTGGTGCTGGGCCGGTAGCGTACACTGGGTTTATCGGTGCCTGTCTGCAGACAAAAAGGAACCACAGACGGTAAAGTTAGGAGCTAATAGATGCTATAAAGATCTCCATGTCTGAGTCTGGTGATAACGCTCTGTGGGTTTGTCACTGAAACCGACCGACCTTCACCTCTCCAACACTTTTGTTATTTTTAAGTAAAGCAGCTTAATATGTCACTCATTAAACACTTGGAGGAAAACCTTTGGTCTTTGCTCTCTAGTTCCTGGTTTAGAGTTCTATCATATCAAGATTCACCATGCTCTAAATAAGCATTAAGCTCCATACCAGCGTACTGTATTAGTTGGAATCCCAGGCCTCCCACTATAACCCCACTGTTAAAGACGGTCACATTGCCTCCCTGTGCTTTGAATCAGTTCACATGAGAATGCTGTCCTCTATCCTATCATATTGCCCTCTACAGGCCCTGCTGTCCATCCTTTAGGCCACGCCTCAGTCTGGTAAGCCTCAGGGTGCACCAAGACCAAGTTTAGATCTTTTATTATTTTATAAAGTTTCTTATATCCTAATAGAAACCTTCCAAAAGCACTGCCTGAACTGACCGTGTACTAGAAGGAAGAACAAAGAGGGGGCGATACTGATGTCTATACATTCGGGATTATAATTATATTATGTTTGATATCTGGCTAATTCCATCTTTTATGCATTAGCCTTTGTAGCGGAGGTGACAGCAGACATGGACCACACCTCACTGATCTCATCCACTGCGACTGAACCGACACCACTGTCCCTTTCTGTTCTTCCCGCCAGGAACCACAGACCAAATGTGTCCCGTTTCAAAGTGTCCACCCGCTGAACCGCAACACGCACACCACAATACCCTCTTCTCTTGATCCTGAAAACGACTGACATACAGCGCATTTGGACAAACAGAAGTAGTTCTATTTACAGTTTGATGCGTCTGTCTTGAGTCTGTGGTATTTGTTCATTTATCACTGAGGGAAAAGAGGCTCTTTTTATTCTTCAGAAGGGTGGGAAGTGTTCCTTTTGTTTCTCACTGAGCCTAAGAACCCCTGACATGTATCCATCCTAGATGTTCCTCTTGCTGCACAGCTGTATTATCAAAGCAATGGTCATGTAGTACACTGTAAGATATTGTACATTGAAAGCATTGTTAAATGTATTTTAGCTGCACCAATTAAATATTTTGACACACAAAGATTTTTTTTTTATAACTATCGACATGCAGAAGTTCTTTGTTCAGTTTTGGGTGTGATGTAGCATCTAGGCCAAATAAAAAAGGCAATGAAGTAACCAAACAAAGTGATTAGGATCAGAGGAGCACAGATCATTGATTGGAGCAGACGGCAGTCACTGTTCTTCTTCACAGCTGATGTTTTGGCACATTGATGTTGTTCTGCACCATCAGCTGTTAGACTCTATCTGCTCTCCCTGAATGGCGGCCAGCACTGGTTTGTCCAGATACGGGTGCTCAGCGCCATGTGTCCGGTGGTTTTGCTGACACCCGTCCTACAGAATACGCCGTCTTGTAATTTTTCAATTTGTCAGTGATTATTTTCCTGATTAAGTGGTGACCCTATTAAATGTCTAACTGTCTGTAGCAGGACCTTAAATGAAGCAGCGAAAATGGAACCCAGCTATCCTTCATTTTGTTGTTTGAACCTGTGCTTTTGTACTGTGAAATGTCAAAATGTCCTCTGTAGTAAAAGGCCCATCACAGCTGTTTCAATAGAGGTGCACAGGATAGAGCAGTTCTCTCTACAAGGTAAACCTCAGAGCATTTCATTCAGGCAGAGCTGAGAATGTCTCGTTCCTTGTTAAAGTTGTATCTCCCTACCTTATATTCAGAGCTGTAGAGAGAGCGTCCTCACATCTGGAAACTTGCAACCTCTTCAGCTGACGAGTTGAGCACAAACTGAAACAAGATCTGAATGTAATGTAGGGATTACAAATGCCATTTAACTTATTTAAATGTTGGATAAGTTGATGCAAATGACATTTTGATATTACCCAGAGGAAACCCAAGCTCACGACCCATCTCTGTATCTTCCAGTGGTGGGCCGTCAGGGCCTGCAAGGCCTTTTCTGCTGGCCTAAACAGAATCACAAAGTTATGTCTATTTTATAATTTAATAATTTTTCTTAAATACACTACCGGTACATGTATTATAATTTATAAAATTATTTTCCCCATTATCTTATGTTCTCATTGCACAGCTACTGTCTTCCTCAGTTGCTCTGCTTCCAGTACAGCTTGTTTTAAGTAGAGCTTTTATCCAATCAGATTTCACCTCTGTGTCTCTAGGTAAGAACAGAGACCCAGGAACTGCAGAGTCTCAGGTGCAACCAGTGCAGATTAAAGTAAATGGGGATGATATTGTTGATTGTCAGTGTTCAACCAATCAGATCTTTAGTTTGACATGTTGGGCGTATTCTTTGACATGTCAGCGCCTGCTCCCCGGCCTATAATGACGTCAGCATTACATGCTGCTCAGTGTCCGCTCTGCCGCGAGGTGCAGAGATTCGTCAGTGGGCGACCACGTGACTATCGTGAAACTAACAGCAGAGGCTGTCGGGTAGTGAATCACATCACGTGATGCAGCTCAGCCAATCAAATATGGGCATTCTGACTGAGTGAGATGCACCATGACACAGAGGAATGAGACGAGGAAAGACACTGCAGAGTAGTACGTACAATGCTCAAGTTGTGAAAGTAAAATCCTAAGATGATCTCTTTGGGGCGTGACTTGTCATTAAGGAGTGATGTTGGGTCCCACAGCCAGACCAGCTGAGAACCACTGTCCTCCATGAGTGCAGAAAACATATTTTCCTGAATATAAGCTTCTGCATTTTCCAGATGCTCTAGTACTATTCAAACATATTGTAAGTCTTGTACCGAACGTTACATACATAGGTACGTACATTTATTACGTACATAGTTACAGCCTTAGAAACAAATAACTCTGGCGCCATCATGTGATTATAAGGTGGTATTTCAGCTGCAGGGCAACAGTGAAGGCCCAGGTATAAAATGCACAGCCCGGCACTGACATCTTCACTGTTGTGGTTTACTTTACTACAGTTCCCTGAATGGAGAAGTAGCAGTGATGGACAAGCGATCTCTTGGAAAAAAAACTTTTAATACAAAATACTATTTTATAAAATATAACTGGAATTTACAGTGAAAGTACTGTAACAGTTGCAGTTACTGAGGTGGGGACAGACCATGTCCTCCTCCTCCATCACTGCTTTCTTCTATCCATAGTCCCAAAGAGCAGAAACACTGAACCCGAGTGACGCATGAGGAGGCTGGGGGTCAGAGTTTCTGCAGGAAGCGGAGCACCAGATCTCTCAGCGTGGTCCGCAGCGGCTCGTTGTTGTCACAGACGATGTGTGTCCCGTCCTCCTCCAGCTGAATCAGCGTGTCCTCCGCCTGCAGGTGCAGAATGTGTCCGTCCGCCGTCTCCTCCACTTTGACCTCTGTGATACCGTGCTGCAGGGAGGAGGAGATAAATTCACAATCAACTTCTTTTTCTAGGATCCTTCCGAGTTTCACTATGGAAGCTCCAATCACTTCACGCCTGTCAGTGGCAGACAGGTCGAACTGTGCTAGGGCCACGCCCCCTCACATTAGCACAGTCGACCGACTCCTCACAAGTCCTCGCTTCCACCCAGTTCAAAAAACAAAGAAATAAAGTTTGCATATTCGCAGCCAGGCTGAGGGCGAAATGCTCCCCCTAAAACAAACAAAACAATGTCATGGCACCATAATCCCAACAGGGGGAGCTCACGCGCCTCTGAGGGGGGCCGCTCCCTCCAGGCCGTTGGCCACTTAGTGCAGGATATCTGTGCTGCAGCGAGCTGGGCTACGTCTCACACTTTTGTGAGGTTTTACAGGCTGGATGCCTCGGGGCTCACCTGCAAACCTGCCAAGCTCCCTGTGATAATTAATGACTGGCTCTACACTATGAGTTTAGGGAAATGTATGCAGTCCTGGAGTGATCTATATATATCCTATAGTAAAAGCCCCAAACAACAGACAAAGACATTTGGGTTACTTAAAGTAAGTGTTTCACCATCACTTCCTTTCTTGCATAGACATTTGTTAGGGGTCCGTCGGATGTGGTGATGTGAGGGGGCGTGGCCCTAGCAAAGTTGTACCTGTCCGTCACTGACAGATGTGTTGTCATTGGAGCTTCCATAGTTAACCGCCTCACTCTGTTATCAAAGAGCCGGGGATTACCTTTAGTCACCCACAGCTTTTAAAGAGGGTTTTTTCTGCATGTCATTCAGCAATAAATACAAAAATATTGCACAAAAAGGCTTGAGTCAATGTAATAGTTGTATCACACAGAAAGTGTTATTTTCTGCTTAAAGAGGAGGAGAACTTGCCCCTACTAGTGCTTGGTAATTTATAGATGCATTTGAATCTGCTGGGGTTAAATCCCTGGCCTCTGCTATAAAAACACTGTTAATCCCAATGTTATGCGTGAGGAGACTTTAATGTCATATGGGAAGAGACTCTTGGCTGTAACCATCTCCTTTGGGAACACTAAAGACAGCAATGAGCAGCAATTTATTTTGTAGGACAAAAAACTGTAACAGCTGGCTGCTATAAAAACAAATGAGGTTTCCACAGATGTCTGCAGATTTCACACCTTTTGCAATGTGGCCAGGAAAGCTTCCAGTGGCACAGCTCCACTCAGCAGGGGTTTGGGGGCCAGCAGGACTGGAGGCTCCTCCAGGACCCGTTTCCTCTTCTTGCTGGGGGGCGCTGGAGGGGGTTTGGGCACCGACTGGCAACACAGGAGTGGAAAAAAAACTTCAATTATTGCTCCTGTGAAGCAATGTTGTCCATATTTACACATGAATCTACCCGTTTTGTGACACATATTCACATGACTCACTTGTAGCGTGTGTTTGTTGTCCTTGGAGTGCAACACTGCAGACACAGTTGCCAGGGAAACGCCGGGTTTAATCTCAGAGGGCACCAGGGAGTTGGCCAGCTGGAATTGAGGAATCAGAATTTTACACTTGAAAACTAGCCACCTGTGCTGACAGGATGTGAAATATTTCTATAATGTAGTTCAATCTATAATTCAGACAAGTCTGTATACACTATATGACATCGTCTCTTACCAACACATGAGAGAATTCAAAATATGCAATCAACACCCTGTTTCCAAAGGCATGGATTTGATCTTGTATTCAACATTGTCTATTTGGGTCCCTTTAAGCGGACAGGTTTAAGTAGACTATATTCATGCCCACTGTGGGAGCTCCTGCTCTGACCTCAGGCAGGATGTAGACCCGTTCATAGCGGCGTCTGAAGGGCAGGTTGAGCACAGAACAGCGTCTGTAGGGCATCGGAGGGGGCTGCAGCTCCAGCATCAGATCAGAGCGGTGGGACTGGGTCAGAGGAGGCTGGGTGTACTGCTCTGGACACACCACATGGAGGGGCTGCAGGACAGGAGACATCCAAACAGCTAAATAAAATACACTCCATCGCTACTTCCTCAGGAGACACAATCAGATGCTGTGTACTGAAGAACAAGCAGCTCTGTGAGCTTGTACTTGAGCAAGCATGCTAATAAAAGCCTAAGTTCTAGCATAACTAAATAAAACAATCTCATGAAAGCTGCACCTATTCACAGACGTTTAAGGCCAAGAGCAGCACAACTGTTTAAGGGAAGAGTTCTGCTTGATTTGATAATCACTAAAGTTTGATATCTTTCCCTATGTATAATATGATGCGGGACAAACTGAAGCATGTGAAACAAATAGAAGCATTAACTCCATTTAAAAGGTTTACACATCGCATCCATCAAGAACAACAACAGGGTCAACTGAAACTCTTCCAGGACTGCAGTGTGTCATTATCTTGTTTGTGCCTTGTAGCTCGTGAAATTGTTTCCATCCTCCCGTTTCTCCCACAGGACTTCTACTGACTCCATGATTATTTGCTTGTTGCATGTAATAAAACATGAGGCAGCCATTTCTGAGATGGACAATCATGATATCTTTCTTCCACCTCACCTTAAATAAACTCTGTTCATGTAGGTTGCAATCCAGTTACAAAAATCAGCTTATTTCTCTTACAAGCCACTGGAATTGGTAAAGGGAAGTGCTAACAGTACATTCACCACATCTATTAGAGGGTTGGTACAATGACAATAGGGCTGCAACTAACGATTATTTTCATTGCCGATTAATCTGTCGATTAGTTGTTTGGGCCATAAAATGTCAGGAACATGGTGAAAACTGTTTCCCAAAGCCCGAAATGACTCCTCAAAGATATTCACTCTACTGTCATATATGAGTAAAGAAAAGAAAGTATTCACATTTAAAACAGCTGGAATCAGATTCATTAAAAATAGTTGCAGATTAATGTCATCGTCGAGGCTCTACATGACGGTAGTGTTGACCGTACCTGGACCTCCTTGAGCAGCTTTGATACTTGGTGGAAGTTGAGCCGTGTGTCGATGGGACAGTAAACACACTTCATGGCCAGAGGCTGGTAGGGAGCCAAAGCATCCAGGTAAGAGAAGTCTGGCTCTGGTGGGAAGAAAGAAAAGTCACAGAAGCTT